AACGCCTAAATCGTTTAATAATACATCTGATGTATTATCATTAATCTTTGTTATTTGATAAATAATTTTCTAACCAATCATATACAGAATCATTAAACCCATACCTTTTTAATTTTAATAAAATAATTCCGCGATCTATAGTTTCAAAAGCTCTTCGAAGGTCTATAAAAACTGCGCAAATGCCAATTCCTGGTTCATCTAATATTTTTTCATGTCAGACACAACTAACTGCAAACACAAGAGTTTCTGAAACCTGATTGATAACTGCATAATATATCTTTATCATTTAAAAACTTCACATTTGTTCATACACAACCAGTTAAAGTTCCTTTTCACAGAATGGTAACATATTTATAGGTCTCAGTTGATCAACTCTATTTGTATTTATCACCTTAGGAATAGGAACTATGGTGGATGTTTTAAAACATTAGGGAACAGTTCCTTTTTCCAAACTTAAATTAATCAAATTTAATAAAGGATAACCCAGAACGTGAAAAAGATGCCTAATTAAATCAATACCAATTTCATCTGTACTATTTTTGTTTTTCTTTTGGGAATTAATTATTTCATAAAGTTGTTGAATGGTAATCATCTGAAAGTTCATTATTACAGCATTTATTGGAATTGAATCAAGCAGGACGTCATCACATATTCCAGCTATTCCTATATTTACCACTAGGTCATTTATACTTGTTACTATAAATTATTTCATTACAATGTAAGGTTTCTGATATTATTTCTGTATTTTTAGTTCCTACTATTTTTTAAAGACTTTTCCACTTTAATTTCGGATTTCCTCTATTGCCATCAATTGATTACTCATAGTATTTTATTTTAGCTTCCCTTAAAATTCTGACCGATGAATTTCTGGTTTCCTTATAGTAATTGTAAGCTCTATTCTTAACCGAAATAGCTTTTCTACAATTATTATCAAACCACTGATTAACACTATTAGTTTTCTTTACAATACTTGGTTTAGACACAACATTCATTACAGATAATATGTTATTCATGAATATACGACTAACAATATTTACGTTAGTAAATGAATATCCCCAGTCTTTTTCAATCAACATATTGATCATTTTATCGTAATCTATTTTACCTCTAGGTTTTTTAAAGTCAGTATGTTTTTTTCTCCCGTTTCCCTTCTTCTAATGTATACGATAGAATGATCAGAAATGATGCAATCCTTATCAACATCAGCAGTTATGGTGTAATCATTACTGAAGACAAGATCGATGATCGATTTAGAATCTTTAAATATTCTAGTATCTTCACTTACTAATTGACTCATGGCGTTATGTTCAATACATTCTTGTAATCTTTTTTCCCTTGGCAATTTTTATTATAGTGAATGTTGAAAAACCGAACCATGCGCACCTGAGATTTACTTAAAATTATTTTATACAAAGCCTTGCTGTCGCACGTACTGATGCCTATTTTCTAAGTAAGATTCGATAAATGAAAGAAGTGAGAGATAGTTCCTTAGACATTACTTTTTGTAGTACAATTAAATGATCAATCCTGCGAATGCCTTTTTTGCCGGTTTTTCATAACGTAATAAAAATTTGAATTTGAGTTTATCCTTTCATACGTAGATGGAGCTACAATCTTTAATCTCTACATTTTGTACATTATATCGAACAGTGTTCAGTCAAATAATATAAGCAACCATACTTTTATGTTATTAATTAAGTTGGTGTGGTGGAAAAGATTTGTCAACTCCGCATGTCGGTAGTTATCTAGTAATCCAATTGAATATCAAGGATTTTTTCGTTACTCGAAACATAGAACTTAAAAAATGCTTTAAGGTACAAAAAAAGATATAAATGTCACCGATAGCCTTAAAAATATATTCGTATTATCATATCATATCATATCATATCATATCAATGGTCTTAAAAATGGCATCACTTTTAACCCCCCATTTTTAATCAGATTTTTTTAAAAATCAATATGCCTCGTCTCATTATAGAGCTTAATTTTTCCTGAAAATTTCAAGTTGATATAGTTTTTTGTTTTGGTTTCATGATTTTTTTTTAAGTTTTAACCCTCCTTAACCTCTCCATTTTTATTCAGATTTTTTTTAAAGCAATAAGCTTCGTCCCATTGCAGAGCTTGATTTTTTCTAAAAATTTCAAGTTGATATTATTTTCTATTTTTGATTTATGATTTTTTTTATTTTAACCCCTCTTTATCCCCAATTTTTAATTGGATTTTTTTTAAATTCAATAGTCTTCGTCCCATTGATATTGTTTTTCGTTTTTGATTTATGTTTTTAAATTTTAACCTCCATTTTTATTCAAATGTTTTTAAAAATAAATAGGCTTCGTTCCATTGTAGAGTTTGATTTTTCCTGAAAATTTCAAGTTAATATTGTCTTTCGTTTTTAAAATGTATTTTTTTTTTATTTTAACTCCCCTTAACCACCCTATTTTTAATCAAATTTTTTAAAAAGTTAATAGCCTTCGTTCTATTGTAGAGCTTGCTTTTTTCTGAAAATGTTGATATTGTTTTTCGTTTTTGTTTTGATTTTTTTTTTAATTTCAATCCCGCCTTTGCCCCTCCATATTTAATCAGATTTTTTTCAAAATCAATAGGCTTCGTACCTTTATAGAGGTTAATTTTTCCTGAAAATTTTAAGTTCATATAATAATATAATTTCGTTTTTTACGAAAAACGTGACATCGGACGAACGGACAGACTGACATTTTTAAAAGTTGTTTAAAATTTTATGAGAAGGATTTTGGTACAAAATTTTTTAAATTTTGGTTTCTTAAAAATAAACCTATAATAAATACTCTTTACTCTTGTATGCATTTTTTATTTCCCTCGTATAAAGCATTAATTTTAAATGTTAGTTAATTTATTATTAGATTTTAGACCAACTTTTATTGAAATTCCATTTTTAGTACCGTAATGTAAGGGGTCTTCGATTTTTAAAGTTTTTCTTGAATAATTATTGCATATATATATTTTTTAAAAATTTGACACAATTACTGTAGATACGCGTACTATTGGTGTAAATAGCTGGTGGAGGAAGTATCCACTAGTAGACATCACAACGCCGATCAAAAGGTTAGTGAATTTTACACTGGGGCAAACTAAAGGTATGGTGTCCGTTGGTGTAGTTAATTCCTACACCAGTCGGCCATAAGCCCCACTCCTAATTTCTAAGCCGATATGGGTCGGTGCTCATGACAATTTAGACGCCAGGCTGTCAATTTCAAGTATTCTACGTCACGTTTTCCAATGGCATACTACGATAAGTTATATTATTTTTTATTAATATCGTGGTATTTGAATTATTATTGTTATTGGAACATTTGTTTTAGCTGCCTATTAATCAAAGTTGTTACCTTTAAGTGCATTTGGATAAGCGCCTGTGGGCGCCAGCCTGTCAAATATCACCTTGTCATGTGGCTCGATTTTGTTGATCGGTTTTGGACTTTCAGTTTAATACTATAGTTCAGTGTTTTGTACACAGAACACCGAATATACGATTCGAGTAGATGAAAGGAAACGGAAACACAATGTCCGAAGTCACCTAAGCTGTACGAAGACACCTCACATGACGGTAATCATTAAAGAAGTCTCCTTGTATATAAATTTGTATTTGTATAAATCTTAGAATACTATATATGTTCTAAGGCATAAATACGCTAGTTCGGTGTGATGTCATTTTGGTGCCACTGACATTTAATTCTAACCAAACTTTTAACAAAAACATCAATAAATTTGACATATACGTTTTTACTATTTTTAGTTTAGTTCTAAATATTGTTTACGGGTCATAAAAAAAATTTAAAGGTATGTAATTGGTAACTAAACAATTGTATATTTGATGCATGCTATCTACTTACTTTAGGAATATATTTATATAGGTGAAAAAAAAACGACATAATTTAGGTAAACAAAACGAACAAAACGCATTCAAAAAATCTACTGTCACTTTAATTGTCAGTGGAACCATAATTACATCATCACTGAACTAGCGTATACGCGTATAGCGTATACATTTTTTCATTATTAGTTAGCAATTTTTTCAATTTTTATTCAGTTTAGTACATTGATTTGATTAATTTTTTAGTATGATTAAATAAACATTAGTAGATTAGTATTGTTAATATTTCTTAAATGAAATCATTACTTCATCTAGCTTACAATAGAAATTTAAAAAATTTATTTTTCTCTTACCCACTAGGCGTGCTAGAAGATTAAGTGATACACTTCGAAACCGGTCGGCAGTAATAAATACATATCTTCGTGAGATCTAAACGACATTTTTCTTTTCTACTTTTTAATCATACCAATTTACACATGGCTTCTCCAAGTTTGTACTTAGTTTTTGTGTAAAAAAAACTTGAAATTTTTGGAATACTAGCATTTATGCTGTTCTTTAAAACGATATTTCTGAAAAACTATTAATCTTACCGAAGTGAACCAATAGTACCTAATTCTCGTAAAAGAGGTTGAATTTTATAAGTAAGGTCTCAAAAATAATCAAATGTAGAGAATAAAAAAGTTTAGTATAGTTTTACACCACTCTTCCCTAGTTATGGCATACCAGTTATAGGGATAAATTTTCTGAAGTAGTTGTCACATTCAGAAAATCATTTTTAGGAAAATTGCAAAATTTTAAGGATTTATCGGTACAGGATTCCAAAAAACGCCAGTGGGTTCTCTTCAAAGGAGTGTTGTTCCCTTATGAGGCTTTTTGGATATATGTTTATAGAAATGTTTGCTTTATTTTCACCTGCATAGTACACTGTTAAAATATTTACCTCTAATTTTAGAACAACCTGTATACAGCAAATTTGTATGGGCGAACGCCAACTCTAAAATCAATTTTTTATAAACTTACAACGATAAATATTGTTAATAACCCGGTATCTCATAAAATCTCGCGGTTTCTAAGCAAACAGCTAAATCCTCTCCCCATATCCCTCAAACAATTGATTGGGGGTAGTTGATAAAAAGGGATACAACGTTGCGCCGCCTTTACTAGTGCTAGCGCTTTCGCGAAAGATGTACAATGGCAGCTCGGGCACTGGAGGCGGCAAGAAACCGCGTCCATCTACTGGTTATCTCGTGCGGCCTCGGCTAGGAGCCTTGCGGTCCGTCTATTCCAACAGACCCTTTTCGGCGATGTCTCCAGACAAAAGAAAAAAGTTAAAGTAAGTACCTGTAACATTCTTTCTGAATTAGTAAATTGTATTTCGTGGTCACCATAAAAAACCCTCCACGCATTACGGGACCATCATCTGATTTACTTCCACTAAATACTACTCTTTGGCACATTCCTGTTAAATAATTAAAAAAAAACTATAGTTGGATTTTCGAATCCTATGAAATTTAAAATTGTTATTAATAAATCATGATTGATTATGTCAAATGACTTGCTGTAATCTAATAAAACTGAGACTAAGACCTTTATCTCATCGTTTTTAGATGTCATCTGTGATATTAGATAAGGCCGTACCGTATCCCGATCTAAATTCTGATTGTGTGTGGAAGTTGTAATATGATCTTGTTATTTTATCTATTTTTATAGTGTTTTAAGTTCATTATAATTTTGGGGAGTGGGTCAGGTTATTAAACAACTCGTATTACTTTGAAAAAGAATGTTGAGGGCCACTATATTTAAAACTTTCTAAACTTGACAGATATAAATCGAAATGAATTAGGCATTCCAAACTGAATGACTACCAGTGGGTTTTGACAGGTTATGATGTGGCAAAGTTATGGCAACTCTGTAGGCCTGGTGATTTGACAAGGTGAGTGAAATAGATAGTTACATAGATTGATCATCCCTATTTTTTAAAATAAACATAAGCTTATGCCTTGAAGTAAACATATAAGCAATTATTATTTTTTAAATATCTAAAATCTGAAAATTGGTTTTAAAACACATTTTTGCTAAACTGATTCAAATTAATAAATATTTGCCAGACAATATGGCTGCTCGCAAACGACCAGCTTTGAGCAATGTATATAACATATATGTATCATTGACCCTGTTAATGACAACATGACAACAGGGTTGCCATATCTAAACTGTCAGTACCCACTGGTAGCCATTTGGACAGGTTGTTGGAATGCCTAATTACCCTTTTGACATAAGGCATAAACGACAAATAACATTTGTGTAGAGATGTTGGTGTCAAAATAACGAAAACGGTTCTGACCGTTACAATGTTTGGGTCTAAATAACGAAAACGGTTTCAACCGTTACAAAGTACCTATGTCATATTTGTTTAAAATTTTAAATGGTAATATAACGTAAATCAGATACTCTTTCTAAATGTGTCAAGCAACCAACAAGTATATCTGATATGTTCAATACATTACTTTCTAATAAACTTAACAAATTTTTTGAGTACGGCCCATATAAGCAAAAAGTGTTTTTAACTTGAAATAAAGATAAAAATTTTACGCACGCACATTTTATTTGAAACATTTTTTATATCTTCATTGTCAACAAAAATATTGAGAAAATTCGAATTTTGTGCTTTTCCACAAATTAAAAATAAGAGAAATATACCGTAAAGTAGAAAAATATTGCCTATATAGTACCCCACCGATGCTTCGATTATGGCCAAAATCTAATCAGCGCAATTTGGTAGTTTTCTCTTTATTCGTTTTTGAGTTATTTTGGATACAGATACACTAATAGACAGTAGACACTCAGATATACATCATTGCGAATATGGTCAAAACGGATTTAGTGGACCCCAGAATGTAAAGATCCGTCGAAAACTCGAGGTCGAAAAAACTAAAGATTCCCATACTTTTTACTCTCTGTTCTCATCACTTTAACTTTCATTGAGATAGTTTTTTCGGTAATGAATTTGAAGTGACAAAAATGAGAAATAGAGCATCGATCAATTGAAATTAAAGTTTCGACTGTAAAACAAGCTTAGAAACTTCCAAAGATAGCAAAAAAATTGTTAGATATGCTAAAAACACAAAAATATGTTTTTAGGACAATAAAAACAAATTTGAAAAATACTTTTTTTTTTTTTCATCCAAATACTTTATTTTTTCCTATTCACACAATTTTATACGTTTTTTTTTTGTTGTTAAAAAAGTTGGCAACCCTAATCAAGAGGGCTAACTTTATTTCGTTAAGGCGCTGCTTTTTTAATGCGCGTTATTTTGAGTAGGCGCTATTTTGTTCAGCGTTATTTTGATGAGCCGCTCAAACAATAGCGCTATTTTACTAAGCGCTATTTTGTGACGGAGCCAAAAAACTCATAGGGATACAATAAGTTTTAATATAGTAGGTTTTGAACCACATCATCTAGTAAATAAATAGGTGCTAAGTTTATGTTTGTGAGACATGATTACCAACAATTCTCGCGGATACGTCCGTGACCTACCACCTACCACATACTAAAACATTTGTTCAACCTTCAACAAATTTCACACGCCTCAACACATTAATAACATTATCAGCTATAATAAAGGTGCCAAGGTGTCCATTAATGTTATTAACTCCACAATTAAGGTGGATAATGAAATTGGAATATTGCGTGGTGCTGTAGATAGAATAGAACAGTAGCGAACGATTTTTTATCTGATTACAAAACGTGTAAGATGACGATTGCTAAACCAGTTGAATATTGATTAAATAGAAATAATTTGAAAAATGTTCTTCTGCACTACAGTACGCGGCATAAAACATCCTAAAACATGTAAATGTTTCTTTTTAAAACAAAATTCTGACTCTTTTATCTGTGTCGCCTCTTGGGCATATTATATTCCCCTGCTTTCCCCGTATTCAGATATTATCTATGGAATAGTATTGTGTCTTTGGTTAGTTTTACTAAGTTATCTACCAAGTGTTCCTGGGGCGTTCTTTCCGGTTTTAGATGAAACTCCGCCTAGTAAGAGCTTCGCATTCGAAAATAATATGGAACGAGATTTCTTCCACTTCCATTCAGAGTCTACACATGATAGGATCATTGTGTAATCCCATCACATGAAGGTATTTCAGTAACCAGTGTCCCGTTAGTGATACGGTGGATATATGTCTTGCGAGCTGTAGTACCTCAGCAGTCATGCGTGGGGTTGTTCCCCTTCGGGTCCTATGAATGGTAGTTCTGATCCCTCTATGGGCAGTTCATCAACTTTTCCATTTCTTTGGATATCTTTTTGTCCTGATACTCACGCTAGTTTTACCATATTGTGGGTTGCCAGATCATTTAGTTCCAGACCAGTTTTGACTTGATTCTGTTTGAACCAAGGGCGTTTAAGGCTGCTTGGATATCTGAAAGAATTAGGATGGTTTCTTTTTCTCTCATACACATAATTCGATTGCATGTATTTCAGCCTAAATTACAGTGGTAAATTTTCCCAGAGAGACAATGATGTCGCATTTGGGTTTAACTCCTTGTACGCCAGAGCCTGTTCCCTTGTTAGTTTTAGATCCATCTGATTTTAACTCATACATCAACCTCATTAGCGAGGGTAACTACCACATGTCATTTAATAGGAAAGGAATATTAAGTCTCTTAACACCAAAATAGTACACTTTATGTTTCATTTAAGATTAGATATTAAAAATGAAGGGGTAGAAAGCCATTTTAGGTATGCCATCGTTGTCTGTGGTTCAGCGTTGAATACACACATACTGATAAAATTAGAGCTATATCGGGGTAGGGTATAGAAAATTTTAGAATGTGATAAATAGTAGTTGGGAGGGACGGTTTTTGTTTTGAAAAAAAAAATGGATTATCAGCATAAAAATAAAATGACAAATGGGAATTTTTATAAAAGTCAGATGGAATATTGAATGTGGGGGTAGATATTTAACTATAAATGAAGAGTATTATTAGAAAAGATGCATGTTATTGATTGATTGGAAATAAAGGACTAATTTAAACAAAAGATGGTAAAGGAAGCTTATTAAAAGAGGTGACAGCAGATTCAAATAGAAAGCAGATTATAAAGAGAGATAAAGCAGAGACGGAAGAGAAAAGTACACAGGTAGAGATAAGCATACAGGTAGAGACAAGCAGACATGTAGGGACGGCTAACACAGACAAACACGATAGAGATAGGAAAAGGTGAAGTGTGAGCAGGGAGAAGGAATAAAACAATAAATATTTTTTTTTATTTTTGCAAATAATTTAATACAATATTTTAGATCATTAAACCCACCCCGAAATTGAGATTTATTTTTGATTGGAAATCAGAGACAACTAAAGGAGGTTTCCATATTAATACAATCATTAGAGGTTACTAAAAAACGCTTATTAAAACTAATCCACGCTACAAATATTAGATATTCCACTTATGCCTTATATAAAGATACACAGATGACACTATTTTCCCTGTAGTACAACAAAATATCACATTAATAAACATGTTGCCCATCTTACAAGCCTTGATTATGACATTCATCAGAATAGTTGTTTGTGCAACAAGAGTGGATATGATGGATATGATGGCCAAATCGCACGACGCCATAGGCGGAGTGCTCAATCATCTAAGTGCGATATGGATAATCCACTCGAGTTATACAGTATATTTTTTCTACGACCCATTAACGAATAGCTACAAATTTAAAAAAATATTTTAGGTTATTAAGACAAAATAACTAATTTTAAAATAATTTATGACATTCACGTGGGAGACAGATACACTAGCCTCATCTCCACCTCCAGATTTAGGATTTTAGTTTTAATATTCGTATTTAAATTAGTTTCATATAGTTTGATTCAAATTCAAGATTTTTTTCAAAATGTGGATCAAATCAAAACAAACATAATATTTATCGATTCTACACAAAAATAAATCAATTTATTATATATTTAAACTCAACTAAAAAATATAGTGACAATTAGTTTTGACAAAATTGTCAACTATTTTAAAATAATAGTAGTAAGGTGTCCAAAATATGAACTGTGATTGGTGGAATTCATTTTTTTGCTGTGTTCTCACTACCTAGAATGATTATGAAATATATTTGTTCAATTGAACGCAATAGTATACTTTTTCGTTTTGTAGTCTGTGCGTGGATACGCCAATGTCCATGTGATTGTAGAAAAACATAAATTTGTGTCCCCACTGATGGTAAAAAAGTGGCAAATTTAGTTTTTTTGAGATAGTTCAAAAACTATATGACTTTTAATAAGTTTGAAAACGGATTAGAAATCAGCAATCAAATTCT